AGTAAGTGTACTTACCTTGCTACAGTTTAATTAGGAGACTAATTACTCAGGAGAGACTGGATAGTCTTACTAGCATCCTCATGGTGCCCTTCAGTAAGTGTACTTACCTTGCTACAGTTTAATTAGGAGACTAATTACTCAGGAGAGACTGGATAGTCTTACTAGCATCCTCATGGTGCCCTTCAGTAAGTGTACTTACCTTGCTACAGTTTAATTAGGAGCCTAATTACTCAGGAGAGACTGGATAGTCTTACTAGCATCCTCATGGTGCCCTTCAGTAAGTGTACTTACCTTGCTACAGTTTAATTAGGAGACTAATTACTCAGGAGAGACTGGATAGTCTTACTAGCATCCTCATGGTGCCCTTCAGTAAGTGTACTTACCTTGCTACAGTTTAATTAGGAGCCTAATTACTCAGGAGAGACTGGATAGTCTTACTAGCATCCTCATGGTACCCTTCAGTAAGTGTACTTACCTTGCTACAGTTTAATTAGGAGCCTAATTACTCAGGAGAGACTGGATAGTCTTACTAGCATCCTCATGGTGCCCTTCAGTAAGTGTACTTACCTTGCTACAGTTTAATTAGGAGCCTAATTACTCAGGAGAGACTGGATAGTCTTACTAGCATCCTCATGGTGCCCTTCAGTAAGTGTACTTACCTTGCTACAGTTTAATTAGGAGACTAATTACTCAGGAGAGACTGGATAGTCTTACTAGCATCCTCATGGTGCCCTTCAGTAAGTGTACTTACCTTGCTACAGTTTAATTAGGAGCCTAATTACTCAGGAGAGACTGGATAGTCTTACTAGCATCCTCATGGTGCCCTTCAGTAAGTGTACTTACCTTGCTACAGTTTAATTAGGAGCCTAATTACTCAGGAGAGACTGGATAGTCTTACTAGCATCCTCATGGTGCCCTTCAGTAAGTGTACTTACCTTGCTACAGTTTAATTAGGAGACTAATTACTCAGGAGAGACTGGATAGTCTTACTAGCATCCTCATGGTGCCCTTCAGTAAGTGTACTTACCTTGCTACAGTTTAATTAGGAGACTAATTACTCAGGAGAGACTGGATAGTCTTACTAGCATCCTCATGGTGCCCTTCAGTAAGTGTACTTACCTTGCTACAGTTTAATTAGGAGACTAATTACTCAGGAGAGACTGGATAGTCTTACTAGCATCCTCATGGTGCCCTTCAGTAAGTGTACTTACCTTGCTACAGTTTAATTAGGAGCCTAATTACTCAGGAGAGACTGGATAGTCTTACTAGCATCCTCATGGTGCCCTTCAGTAAGTGTGCTTACCTTGCTACAGTTTAATTAGGAGACTAATTACTCAGGAGAGACTGGATAGTCTTACTAGCATCCTCATGGTGCCCTTCAGTAAGTGTACTTACCTTGCTACAGTTTAATTAGGAGCCTAATTACTCAGGAGAGACTGGATAGTCTTACTAGCATCCTCATGGTGCCCTTCAGTAAGTGTGCTTACCTTGCTACAGTTTAGTTAGGAGACTAATTACTCAGGAGAGACTGGATAGTCTTACTTGCATCCTCATGGTACCCTTCAGTAAGTGTACTTACCTTGCTACAGTTTAATTAGGAGACTAATTACTCAGGAGAGACTGGATAGTCTTACTAGCATCCTCATGGTGCCCTTCAGTAAGTGTACTTACCTTGCTACAGTTTAATTAGGAGACTAATTACTCAGGAGAGACTGGATAGTCTTACTAGCATCCTCATGGTGCCCTTCAGTAAGTGTACTTACCTTGCTACAGTTTAATTAGGAGCCTAATTACTCAGGAGAGACTGGATAGTCTTACTAGCATCCTCATGGTGCCCTTCAGTAAGTGTGCTTACCTTGCTACAGTTTAATTAGGAGACTAATTACTCAGGAGAGACTGGATAGTCTTACTAGCATCCTCATGGTGCCCTTCAGTAAGTGTACTTACCTTGCTACAGTTTAATTAGGAGACTAATTACTCAGGAGAGACTGGATAGTCTTACTAGCATCCTCATGGTGCCCTTCAGTAAGTGTACTTACCTTGCTACAGTTTAATTAGGAGCCTTATTACTCAGGAGAGACTGGATAGTCTTACTAGCATCCTCATGGTGCCCTTCAGTAAGTGTACTTACCTTGCTACAGTTTAATTAGGAGCCTAATTACTCAGGAGAGACTGGATAGTCTTACTAGCATCCTCATGGTACCCTTCAGTAAGTGTGCTTACCTTGCTACAGTTTAGTTAGGAGACTAATTACTCAGGAGAGACTGGATAGTCTTACTAGCATCCTCATGGTGCCCTTCAGTAAGTGTACTTACCTTGCTACAGTTTAATTAGGAGCCTAATTACTCAGGAGAGACTGGATAGTCTTACTAGCATCCTCATGGTGCCCTTCAGTAAGTGTGCTTACCTTGCTACAGTTTAGTTAGGAGACTAATTACTCAGGAGAGACTGGATAGTCTTACTAGCATCCTCATGGTGCCCTTCAGTAAGTGTACTTACCTTGCTACAGTTTAATTAGGAGCCTAATTACTCAGGAGAGACTGGATAGTCTTACTAGCATCCTCATGGTACCCTTCAGTAAGTGTGCTTACCTTGCTACAGTTTAGTTAGGAGACTAATTACTCAGGAGAGACTGGATAGTCTTACTAGCATCCTCATGGTGCCCTTCAGTAAGTGTACTTACCTTGCTACAGTTTAATTAGGAGCCTAATTACTCAGGAGAGACTGGATAGTCTTACTAGCATCCTCATGGTACCCTTCAGTAAGTGTGCTTACCTTGCTACAGTTTAGTTAGGAGACTAATTACTCAGGAGAGACTGGATAGTCTTACTAGCATCCTCATGGTGCCCTTCAGTAAGTGTACTTACCTTGCTACAGTTTAATTAGGAGCCTAATTACTCAGGAGAGACTGGATAGTCTTACTAGCATCCTCATGGTACCCTTCAGTAAGTGTGCTTACCTTGCTACAGTTTAGTTAGGAGACTAATTACTCAGGAGAGACTGGATAGTCTTACTAGCATCCTCATGGTGCCCTTCAGTAAGTGTACTTACCTTGCTACAGTTTAATTAGGAGCCTAATTACTCAGGAGAGACTGGATAGTCTTACTAGCATCCTCATGGTGCCCTTCAGTAAGTGTACTTACCTTGCTACAGTTTAATTAGGAGCCTAATTACTCAGGAGAGACTGGATAGTCTTACTAGCATCCTCATGGTGCCCTTCAGTAAGTGTACTTACCTTGCTACAGTTTAATTAGGAGACTAATTACTCAGGAGAGACTGGATAGTCTTACTAGCATCCTCATGGTGCCCTTCAGTAAGTGTACTTACCTTGCTACAGTTTAATTAGGAGACTAATTACTCAGGAGAGACTGGATAGTCTTACTAGCATCCTCATGGTGCCCTTCAGTAAGTGTACTTACCTTGCTACAGTTTAATTAGGAGACTAATTACTCAGGAGAGACTGGATAGTCTTACTAGCATCCTCATGGTGCCCTTCAGTAAGTGTACTTACCTTGCTACAGTTTAATTAGGAGCCTAATTACTCAGGAGAGACTGGATAGTCTTACTAGCATCCTCATGGTACCCTTCAGTAAGTGTGCTTACCTTGCTACAGTTTAGTTAGGAGACTAATTACTCAGGAGAGACTGGATAGTCTTACTAGCATCCTCATGGTGCCCTTCAGTAAGTGTACTTACCTTGCTACAGTTTAATTAGGAGCCTAATTACTCAGGAGAGACTGGATAGTCTTACTAGCATCCTCATGGTGCCCTTCAGTAAGTGTACTTACCTTGCTACAGTTTAATTAGGAGCCTAATTACTCAGGAGAGACTGGATAGTCTTACTAGCATCCTCATGGTACCCTTCAGTAAGTGTGCTTACCTTGCTACAGTTTAGTTAGGAGACTAATTACTCAGGAGAGACTGGATAGTCTTACTAGCATCCTCATGGTGCCCTTCAGTAAGTGTACTTACCTTGCTACAGTTTAATTAGGAGCCTAATTACTCAGGAGAGACTGGATAGTCTTACTAGCATCCTCATGGTGCCCTTCAGTAAGTGTGCTTACCTTGCTACAGTTTAATTAGGAGACTAATTACTCAGGAGAGACTGGATAGTCTTACTAGCATCCTCATGGTGCCCTTCAGTAAGTGTACTTACCTTGCTACAGTTTAATTAGGAGCCTAATTACTCAGGAGAGACTGGATAGTCTTACTAGCATCCTCATGGTGCCCTTCAGTAAGTGTGCTTACCTTGCTACAGTTTAGTTAGGAGACTAATTACTCAGGAGAGACTGGATAGTCTTACTAGCATCCTCATGGTGCCCTTCAGTAAGTGTACTTACCTTGCTACAGTTTAATTAGGAGCCTAATTACTCAGGAGAGACTGGATAGTCTTACTAGCATCCTCATGGTGCCCTTCAGTAAGTGTGCTTACCTTGCTACAGTTTAATTAGGAGACTAATTACTCAGGAGAGACTGGATAGTCTTACTAGCATCCTCATGGTGCCCTTCAGTAAGTGTACTTACCTTGCTACAGTTTAATTAGGAGACTATTTACTCAGGAGAGACTGGATAGTCTTACTAGCATCCTCATGGTGCCCTTCAGTAAGTGTACTTACCTTGCTACAGTTTAATTAGGAGACTAATTACTCAGGAGAGACTGGATAGTCTTACTAGCATCCTCATGGTGCCCTTCAGTAAGTGTACTTACCTTGCTACAGTTTAATTAGGAGCCTAATTACTCAGGAGAGACTGGATAGTCTTACTAGCATCCTCATGGTGCCCTTCAGTAAGTGTGCTTACCTTGCTACAGTTTAATTAGGAGACTAATTACTCAGGAGAGACTGGATAGTCTTACTAGCATCCTCATGGTGCCCTTCAGTAAGTGTACTTACCTTGCTACAGTTTAATTAGGAGACTATTTACTCAGGAGAGACTGGATAGTCTTACTAGCATCCTCATGGTGCCCTTCAGTAAGTGTGCTTACCTTGCTACAGTTTAATTAGGAGACTAATTACTCAGGAGAGACTGGATAGTCTTACTATCATCCTCATGGTACCTTTCAGTAAGTGTGCTTTTAACTTATCGCACCTTGCTACACTTTAATTGCGGGCACTCAGACCTACGGAAAATGTGTTTACATCTCAAAATGCTATTCCTTAGATTTACAGATTTTTAATTACAATCTGTGAAGGAGCCTAATTAGGAGCCTAATTATGAGCCTAATTAAGAGCATAATTAGGAGTCTAATTAGGAGCCTAATAAAGATCACGTCCCTCACTAGGTGATGGAAAAGAGAGGTCAGTTGTGAGAAAGTGGGAACTGGTTACTATCGGAATCAGGACTATCAACAACCAAGTTGTCGTCTACTTCTACGGTTCGTCTTTAATTCTCGTGGATAGTATTTGAGTCGGTTACAGTAATTCTGTTATATTTTAACTACCGGACCACGATATATGACCTAATATGGTAATAATATGGTAATATGACTGCTAGTTAGCTCTTAAAAGAGCAGTTCTCTAAAATGAAGATGATAACCCCCCTCTCCCTCAGGTAAGAATGATAAGGGTGAAATACTCCCAGGAGCTCCCTTAGTGAAACATCTCAGAGATACCGTGTATGGACGGTTGCTAGGATTCGAGTTTGATGTGATAGACACGAGCACGTGCAGTAATGACTGCAGTGGTCACGGCACGTAAGTGATCTCCTGTATAATTTTCAGTTTTATTAAATTTAATTAAAATACGATAGTACCCTCCCCGTGTATGTGGACATAACTCTTAATGGAACATTCTGTATCTAAAACGATCATAGTTTTTATCATCGTACAGGAAAAAATAAATTTTGAAGATTTTAGTACGATAACCTTGATAACCCTCTCCACAGCTGTTCCGATGCTACCCGTCTTTGCACGTGCGACAAGTTCTGGATAGAAAACTTCTTCCGCGCGTCCGCCGGACGGCAATTCAGCAACTGTGAGTGGAGCAAGATCTACTTCGGGCTGATCGTCTCACTGCTGATCATAGTGTGCTTCATTATTGTTTACATCGTGTGGTATGTGTGGTCTCTGAGGAACGATCAGCTGAGAAGGAGGAAGAAGTATAAGCAGTTGGAGGAGGAAACAGGGAGGGGCGTGAACTTTAATAGTGGTAGCTCTGATGAGGATGAGTTCTTTAAGATGAAAGCGAGGAAGAAATCCCCTTCTCACAGTTTGAAGCCAAAGGCTAATGGTTTCAAGCCGGCTAATGTTCTCAGTAACATTAATGCTGTTAAACCAAATGACAAGTCCGATAAAAGGAAGTAATTTTGGTTTTTTTTGTCTTTTTAAAATCTTTTTATTGTGATTTTTGGGGGTTTTTCAGATATGAGTTAACGAATGATAATACCAGATCAGATTGCGTTTGATTTTAAATTCCATTGCCAGTCGATTAATATGTTGATTATATAATAAAATCTTTCGATAAGTTTTAGTGTTACCACTTTCTTTCAATTTATTCAGCAGAACTAGACAGAATACAGAATAAATGATAAGTTTTTCTTTTGTTCTACCATTTTTAAGATTATGATTTTATGTCATCTATCAGTAGTCATGGTTACTAATAGTGTTACCATGACAACACTGCCATATTATCAATTCTTTTATGAACCTGGTACGACAAAAGATAAACTTTTTTTTGTAAACATGTTTTAAAATTCTTAAAGCCGGTTTTCTAAATGATTTTAAAGCAACTTTTTGGGTTTGATCATCATTACATTTGTGTATTTGTATAGTATTTAAGGAATGAGTAAATGATAATTTAATACTCCTTCATAAATCTCGCTACTTTCTGTAGATCGGAATGTTACAATTTCAACGAAAACCAAAGTTGTTGTTATTTCCTAATATCCATCCTGCCTGAATACTAATAATTTATGACAATTCAATATTAAATTATCTTAGTTCCACCTTGGTTCCACCCCGACACCACGTGTCCCACTAACTCATATCTCACTGTAGGATAAGGTAACATTACACACTACTAACTCATATCTCACTGTAGGATGAGGTAACATTACACATTACTAACTCATATCTCACTGTAGGATGAGGTAACATTACACATGACTAACTCATATCTCACTGTAGGATGAGGTAACATTACACATTACTAACTCATATCTCACTGTAGGATGAGGTAACATTACACATTACTAACTCATATCTCACTGTAGGATGAGGTAACATTACACATTACTAACTCATATCTCACTGTAGGATGAGGTAACATTACACATTACTAACTCATATATCTCACTGTAGGATGAGGTAGGATAAGCCATGAAGAGGGCCCTAATAGCCGGAGCAATAGGGCTGGCCGGGGGTGTAACGGTCTACAAGTGGGACAACCCCTACCAAACAAAAGCTAAAGTTAGAGACGTGGTATCATTCCCTCCCGTACCTAACAGAACACAACAGTTATCTCGTCTTAAGACTGAAGAGTTTGATGTGTTGGTGATAGGAGGGGGCGCAACCGGGGCCGGCTGTGTCTTGGACGCCCAAACTCGGGGACTTAGCGCTGCGCTAGTCGAGCGAGGCGATTTTAGTTCAGGTAAGTTATGATATTTGTAATTGTATAAATATCATTTCAGTTTTCTGATTTATATGTGGTATCCGACGGTACTAGATTTAAGATTTGGGAGATCTTGAAGTTGTACCACATTTTAAATGAGATGTATTACGCTGTAAGTCCAACTTAATATCATGATGCCATGAAAAAAGATAGTTCTACCTTCAGAGCCATTCCTCTAATACCAACCCCCTTATAAAAGTAGTTACAATTAAACTAAAAGCCTCTCAACTGACGTACCGATCAGGAACGAGCAGTCGGAGCACTAAACTAATACACGGGGGTATCAGATACCTGCAGAATGCCATCTTCCACCTGGACAAGGAGCAGTGGGATTTGGTGTGTGAGGCTTTGTCCGAGAGGAAGAACCTTCTAGACTCAGCTCCCCACCTCAGTGCAGCTCTCCCTATCATGATACCTGTCTATCAGTGGTAAGCTTGTTTTCCTCTTACTTTATAGAATAACACGTTATTGTGGTTCTTTTTTTGAATCGTGTGCGGAGGAATCTTTGTTTGCCGTTAATTAATTAATATTTACAATTTGAGAATCCTACATATTGGTCCTCGTCAGCATTATAAGATACTTGCCCTATCTTTCACCATTTTTTTGGGAAAAAAGAAAACATGATGATCCCTCGGGACCAGCGCCGCTTTGTTCGGGACCATCGCCGCTTTGTTCGGGACCAGCGCCGCTTTGTCCGGGACCAGCGCCGCTTTGTTCGGGACCAGCGCCGCTTTGTTCGGGACCAGTGCCGCTTTGTTCGGGACCAGCGCCGCTTTGTTCGGGACCAGCGTCGCTTTGTTCGGGACCAGCGCCGCTTTGTTGCTATGATTGTTTTATTTGTTAGTTATATCTTGATATAAGTATCAATTAATATTACGTTTTAATTAAGTATAAATTAATATAATCAGTATTAATTAACATACGCATTTGATCAGGTGGAAGTTACCTTATTATTACGCGGGCACACTGCTCTACGATCTAGTTTCCTGGGGAGAAAGGTTGAAGTGGAGTCGTGTCATTTCCAAACAGACCACACTAGAGGAGTTCCCAATGCTCAGAGACAAAAACCTAAAGGTTTGTAGACTCCTAATTACACTCACCGCTAACAATATCACCTGACGCGCGCAGTCAGGAATGACGAAAATGTATGGCACTGCAGTCTCCGTGAGACATCTTTTATTATGGATGTTATTTTGCGTATTTCTCCTGTTGCTAATGGATAAATAAACGAGAAACCCCAGTTTAATGAAAGGCTGCAGCATTTTATCATTGTTATTATTTCATTCTAGTTAGTTGATAAAAAATGCTATTAAAGTATCCCCTAATTGGTTGATTAAAATTGTATCTATTGTTGCTAGGGAGCGGTGGTTTACTATGATGGACAGCAGAATGACGCCCGGATGAATGTCATGCTTGTTTTATCAGCTGTTCGAGAGGGTGCTGCTGCCTCTAATTATATCCAGGTACACAGTACACACGCTTTTGCTTTTATAATTTAGTGATCAAGTTATTAATTAAATAGTCAATTGATCCCGTATCAAACTATTACAGATGTTTTTATACTGTATTAAACGCCAAATGTTGCATCTTTGAGTTTGACAACAATTCGCCGTGAAAAAACGGTGTTTCTAACCTTATTTACATATATATTATATTTAACTTTACTTTTGTGGTACAGGTTGTTGAGATATTACACAACGAAGAGGGCAGGATACGGGGTGCTTTATGTAGAGACTCTAACACTGGGGAACCATTTGAGGTAATCTTATAACTCAGCGAGTCATTATCATCACATTTAATGATTTAATGTTAGGTACCGTTTACATATTATTATTTGAGTCGAATTTAAGCCACTTTACCCATAGGCCATAACTGATGTGTAGAAAGTACACCAGCGTTAGTTTTGCTAACGCTGGTGTACTTTCTTCTAGTCTTCAGAGCATTGATTACGATATTTCAGGTAAAAGCTAAGAGTATAATAAACGCGACAGGTCCCTTCACGGACTCTATAAGAAAGATGGATAACGTAGAATCGGAGAGCATATGCTCCCCAAGTACCGGTGTACACATTGTTCTTCCTGGATACTTCAGGTATAGTTCAGGTATTCTTCAGGTATACTTCAGGTATACTTCAGGTATACTTCAGGTATTCTTCAGGTATACTTCAGGTATACTTCAGGTATACTTCAGGTATAGTTCAGGTATACTTCAGGTATACTTCAGGTATACTTCAGGTATACTTCAGGTATACTTCAGGTATACTTCAGGTATAGTTCAGGTATACTTCAGGTATACTTCAGGTATACTTCAGGTATTCTTCAGGTATACTTCAGGTATACTTCAGGTATACTTCAGGTATACTTCAGGTATAGTTCAGGTATACTTCAGGTATAGTTCAGGTATACTTCAGGTATTCTTCAGGTATACTTCAGGTATACTTCAGGTATACTTCAGGTATACTTCAGGTATACTTCAGGTATAGTTCAGGTATACTTCAGGTATAGTTCAGGTATAGTTCAGGTATAGTTCAGGTATAGTTCAGGTATACTTCAGGTATAGTTCAGGTATAGTTCAGGTATAGTTCACCTCACATTGTTAAGACAGTATTTTTGAGCACAAAGTTTACTTTCTTGTTATCTAATGAAATTCCCCAAATACCTCAACTCTGTTTATCCCTCTCAGTCCGACGAACATGGGATTGTTAGACCCAGAAACATCCGACGGGAGGATCATATTCTTTCTACCCTGGGAAAGGTACACCATAGCAGGTTACTCTCTCATTACGCTTAAGTCATACACATTTTGTATTTAGGTAACAGATTACCATTTTATTTATCTAGAAGTATGGAGCACATATATCAGTTGTGGCGACAACGTGATAACTTACGCCCACGTGATAACTTACTCCCACGTGATAACTTACTCCCACGTGATAACTTACTCCCACAGTCCCACGTAATAACTTACGCCCACGTGATAACTTACTCCCACGTGATAACTTACTCCCACGTGATAACTTACGCCCACGTGATAACTTACTCCCACGTGATAACTTACGCCCACGTGATAACCTACTCCCACGTGATAACTTACGCCCACGTGATAACTTACGCCCACGTGATAACTTACGCCCACGTGATAACTAACTCCCACGTGATAACTTACTCCCACGTGATAACTTACGCCCACGTATTAACTTACTCCCACGTGATAACTTACGCCCACGTGATAACCTACTCCCACGTGATAACTTACGCCCACGTGATAACTTACGCCCACGTGATAACTTACGCCCACGTGATAACTTACTCCCACGTGACAACTTACGCCCACGTGTCAACTTACGCCCACGTGATAACTTACTCCAACGTGATAACTTACTCCCACGTGATAACTTACGCCCACGTGATAACTTACGCCCACGTGATAACCTACTCCCACGTGATAACTTACTCCCACGTGATAACTTACGACCACGTGATAACTAACTCCCACGTGATAACTTACGCCCACGTGTCAACTTACGCCCACGTGATAACTTCCTCCCACGTGATAACCTACTCCCACGTGATAACTTACGCCCACGTGATAACTTACGCCCACGTGATAACTAACTCCCACGTGATAACTTACTCCCACGTGATAACTTACTCCCACGTGATAACTAACTCCCACGTGATAACTTACTCCCACGTGATAACTTACGCCCACGTGATAACTTACGCCCACGTGCACCAGGTACGACTGACACCCCCTGTGAACCACACGCCCGACCAGAGGCAACTGAGAGGGAAATACAGTTCATCCTGGACGAGATAGACAGTTACTTCGACTGTAATGTCAAGGTAAGGAAGAGATTGAGGTTAACAGATAGACAGTTACTTCGACTGTAATGTCAAGGTAAGGAAGAGATTGAGGTTAACAGATAGACAGTTACTTCGACTGTAATGTCAAGGTAAGGAAGAGAGTGAGGTTAACAGGTGCATCTCGTGTTTTAACGGCCGTGTCAATATTAAATAGTTGAAGCGCGTTGTCGCTATGGCGACTATGTAGCAGCACCCCAGAAATATCAAGCAGCCAGGTATAGTAGTAAGCTAATCTCTGTAAACACGAGATAGCAGCCAGGTAACCTCTCTAAACACTTAAACTCGTGTTGCAGATAAGAAGAGGAGACGTGCTGGCAGCCTGGTCCGGTATCAGACCAGGCTGCCAGGTAACCTCTCTAAACACTTAAACTCGTGTTGCAGATAAGAAGAGGAGACGTGCTGGCAGCCTGGTCCGGTATCAGACCAGGCTGCCAGGTAACCTCTCTAAACACTTAAAATCGTGTTGCAGATAAGTAAGGAGACTGATGGCAGCCTGGTCCCGAGTAATCAGACCAGCTGCCCGGTAACCTTCCTATAACACTGAACTCGTGTTGCAGAATAAGAAAGGTGACGTTCTGGCAGCCTGGTCCGGTATCAGACCAGGCAGCCAGGTAATCTCTCTAAACACTTAAACTCGTGTTGCAGATAAGAAGAGGAGAACGTGCTGGCAGCCTTGTCCTTATCAGACCAGCTGCCAGGTAAGCCTCCTTAAACACTTAAACTCCAGTTGTAGATAGAAGAGGAGGACGGCTGGCAGCCTGGTCCGTATCAGACCAGGGCCTGCCAGTAACCTGTCTAAACACTTAAACTCGTGTTGCAATAAGAAGAGGAGACGTGCTGGCAGCCTGTCCGGTATCAGAACCAGGCAGCCAGGTAACCTCTCTAAACACTTAAACTCGTGTTGCAGATAAGAAGAGGAGACGTGCTGGCACCTGGTCCGGTATCAGACCAGCTGCCAGGTAACCTCATCTAAACACTTTAAACCTGTGCAGATAAGAAAGGAGACGTGCTTGCAGCCTTGGTCCGGGTATCAGACCAGGCTCCAGGTAAACCTCTCTAAACACCTTAAACTCGTGTTGCAGATAAGAAAGGAGACGTTCTGGCAGCCTGGTCCGGTATCAGACCAGGCTGCCTGTAACCTCCTAAACACTTAAACTGCTGTTGCAGATAAGAAGAGGAGACGGCAGGCAGCCTGGTCCGGTATCAGACCAGGCTGCCAGGTAACCTCTCTAAGACACTTACAAACTCCTGTTTAGTAGATAAGAAGAGAGGACGTGCCTTGGGGCAGCCTGGTCCGGTATCAGACCAGCTGCCAGTTAACCTCTCTAAACCTTAAACTCGTGTTGCTGATAAGAAGAGTAGCGTGCTGGCAGCTGGTTCCGGTAATCAGACCACTAGTCCGGGATCCTAACGCTAAGAACTCAGCTGCACTCTCCAGGAACCACGTTATAGAGACTAGTGAGAGTGGTATGGTAACTATTGCAGGCGGCAAGTGGACTACGTACAGAAAGATGGCAGAGGTTAATTATAGTGCCCCCCCTCACCCCCCGCTAGTGGCTGTGAAATATTTCATTTATGGTTACAATTTGAAGGGCAACTTAAAATTAATCCTGTTCTTACAAAACTGCAGGATCGTAATATTCTATCCGAGTAAACTCCCGAACAAACTTGTAGCGCGATGGGCCGCGCCGCTCATCCGATAATGCTTCTCGCAACCACAGATCGGCGAGATGCGAAGGATTGACATCGTGAATCATGGAACAAACATCTTACTCACTTATCTTACAGCACAATTCTCGATGATTAACTGATACTAACTGTATCACGTCAGGATGCAGTAACTGCAGTGACTAAAGAGCACGGGTTCTCACACGCCACCCCCTGCAACACTAGCGGTGTTCTTGTGGAGGGAGCTGACAATTACCACCACAACTTTTCTATCGAGCTCTGTCAGAGATACGGTTTGACAGCGAGGTCAGTTTTCATCATATTTTATAGTGGATCGTTCACTGATCCCAGCTCATTCATTGTACCGTTATACTCTATTTTAAATGATTATAACTTGCATTATATTTGTCAACTTGTATGACCCGCCGCGCACGAGTGCGCGGCTCCCCCTGTATCGTAGAAACTCTACAGTGAAACTCTATAGTGAAGCGACAGTGGGGGTCACCACGTGATACAACATTATATCAGTAATGTTCCCCTAGAGTTTATAATTGTTAAATAACTGACCGGAATATTATGTGAAACTAAGGAGGTCTTGTTTTATTGCAACTCTGACATATATTTGATGTAGGTTGCAGAACATTTAGCCCACAACTACGGGACCCAAGCACATGAGTTAGCTAAGATGGTCCAACTAACGGGGAAGAGATGGCCGCTTGTTGGGAAACGCCTTGTCGCTGACATGCCCTTCATTGAGACCGAGGTTGGGAAAACAAACTTGCTGTTCCGTGATTTACAGTTTCAGTTTGAATTAAATGTTCTTCATCCAGCCTTCAAATAGTTTCGATTAAGTCAAGAGTATGGTTGCTCAGACCCGCCACCGTTTTAAAATTGATTCGGGAAAAAACACAATGTAAAATCTATTTCGGTTTTGATATTGAATTGGAATTTCATAGCTCAAACCCGGCATCGTTTTCCATTTCAATATTGAATTGGCAAAAAAAAAACCAGGATCCTTAAATAACATGACACTTTACAACAGGATCCTTTAGTTATTAAACTTTATAAAACCAGCGATTTAACAGGTAAATACGCAGTTCAGTACGAGTACGCTTGTCATGTCAAGGACTTCATTGCGCGGCGCACCAGACTAGCATTCCTGAACGTGCAGGCTACCAGAGAGTGCCTTCCAAGGGTTCGTTCCAAATATTATATTTTTACCTATAGTTTACCTAGATTCCAAATATTTACCTGGGGACCTCAGGTTTTTCTGTTCATAAGCTGATTGTTGAAGATGCATTAATCTGAATATTAGATCTGATATTTTTAATTATTTGATAATGATTATTTGATAATAGTTATTTATTGATTATTTATCAGCTATCAATGTTGCAACGTAAGATTCACACATTTCGTGCGCCAGTATTGTCGAAAATAGCTTATTCCGTATGTTGATAAAGTACACTCTCTAGGTAGCTGAGTTAATGGCTGTAGAGTTAGGTTGGAATGAAGAGACATTGGAGGCGGAAATCAAAGACGCCGAAGCACTCATTGCTTCCATGGGGTTTGTCATTTTACTCTTTTATTTTTACTCTTATTTTATATTTTAATGCATATAAAGAATCTAATTAAGAACTATTGAAATAGCATACAAATATTCTCTGACAGTGGTAAGTTAACGAGTTCATAAATTGAAATGAGAGAGAGACCTATCGAACTTTAAATTTTAACGAAATAATGGATCGTTCACATATTGCGTAAGCCGAATATTGGGTCATTTTGGGACAATTCTCTGAGCGAATAACTGTGTTTAATTTTTCAGCAGAAAGCCCGTCCTCCGGACACTTTAAATTTATTTATACCTCATTCTGCCCTTTTCTCTTCCTACTTGTTAGTCAACTCTCTTCTTACTCTTTATTCCTCTCTCTCAGTGAAATAATAAAATATCGATAATTGGTCAATGAAACACTTTATTTTGTTCAACACTTCTCAAAATTGCTTCTAACTCTGAGTTAACATTACCGGTCCGCTCTATATTTTATAGTAATATTTAATTATGTTGGATGAAGTATGTGAATAATAAAATGCAACAGCTGCAATTTCAGATTCAAATTAGGGTCAGAAGGAGCTCCTCAGGAGAAATTAAAGCTTTCTATCTCAGAATACAATGAGTATCTCAAGGTATTTTTATTTTGTCCCGTTAAAAATGCACTTATTTTAGTTGATTCCTGTTCTCAAGATTTGAAGCAGCTTAGGAAGTAAAAACGAGTGGTCGTAATGCCGTCAAGACTAACAGCTTATAAAAAGTATTTGCAGGCGTTTGAGGAACTGGACAAGGACAAAACTGGTGTACTGAGGCCAGCAGAGCTGTTTGAAGCTTGCCAGAACCTAGGAGTGGAGCTGTCCATACAGGACGCTATAAACATTGTCAATGAGGTACACAGCCTGCTAATAGTTATGTGAAGGGAAAGGGGGCGCTGTGGGCACATGATGTTACGTTAAATTGTTATGTAAGCAACATTTTTCCATCCACCAATTTATAAAAGTAAAGTATGGTTGCGAATCAAAGGCAGTGTCGTGGGGGATGGTTGTGTCGTAGGTTGATTTGCACAACCAATTCTCATTGTCTCTCTGTTGCAGGTAGATACGAACAGGAATGGGGTAATAGACTTGGAGGAGTTTCTGATAATCATGGCGGGCGGGGCTACAGAGAGAATTGTAGACAACAGACTTCAGAGACTGGTGGAACTTCACATTAAGGAGGAAAGGACTGAGAGAATCCCCACTCAGCGCAGTGGTGGTGGGGTATAGTGGTGTTATATGTGCCACCTTATCGGACCTTACTTGACCGGACATTGAGTAAAAGGCGGTGATACACTAGGGCCTCTAGCGTCCAATTAATTTCCGTTCAAATAAAGTCCGATAGGGTACTGATTTATAGTGTATAGCGGAAGGGATAGTTGACTTAGTAAACCAGATTTGTTTGAAAGCGTCAACATTCAAATTACATCTTTTAGGGTAGAAGTACATTTTCTTTTATTTTTGACTTTGGGCGTATTGATAGGAGACTGTTGGATTACAAAAGCTTATCTAATTTTAACTTATCTATAGCAGGTATTAATTCATCCATTCTAGGAGTCACGGTTTATTAATGATGGGAGGCTCTAAAATAATAAATCTATATTTTGTAAAACTACAAATGTCATTTCATAATATCTCATCCTCATAATTTATTTATATGGTTATTAAACACTATTAGTATTTCCAACTTTGTAATAAATATGCAATGCATAATTATTTATAATGATATATATGGTATAATTTTACAGTATTATTTACAATCTTACTATAAATTTGTATTTGTAGACTGCTTAATAAGTTGACATTGTGTAAAATATGTAAATATTATGTAAATGGTCGTGATTTTGGATTTAATAGGTTTACAAGGTTTACAAGGTTTACAAATATAGATCTATATATTACAGTATAATAACGTTAGATCGGCGTTGCTAAAATAAATTCAAATTCCGTAATCCAAATGGGAGATAAAACCATTACCAAAATGTCGTGGTGTCACTCTGAAGCCAGAGTCGAGTGCAAATCGATCAAGATAGAAGCTACCAAAAAGAGCGAGAAAAGCACGCAAACCCTAGCAGGAAAACAACATCAAAGTGAAGTGGGAAAAATAAAGATGCTTGATGTGTGATTGTGTAGTCGACGATGTGATTGTGTTGGAGTGGAGTGCAAATGTAAAGTGCAGATGAAGGTGATGCGGTGGAAAGGTGATGTTTCGTACTGTGATACTAGTGTTTGTGTTTCTTCTTCGCAGGAAATCGTGTTCTGCATAGCTGAGCGACGAACTTGGTGAATTCCACTATATGTTCCGGGAGAAAGAGGCTCTTCATGTCATGAAATAGCAAGGACTTTGTGGGCTCCTTCATGTTAGTCCTACTGGAATGGTACCTGGGACATGTTCTAAGGAAGTGTTCTTCATCTTCTATGATCGGGTCGACACCTGGAAGGTTAAGGAGGAGCTCCATCACGGGCTTCTCGCTGCAGAATTCACAGATTCTATAATGACGACTACCAGTTATATATGACATAATGTCATATTAAATCCGAAATCACAACCATTTTATAATCGAAAATTGCGAAATGTATAAAAAATTACATTGTATTTGTAATTTCCTATCATTATTGTAGTATTGATCTTATAAGTTTCTGTATTTTGTTTTCTCCGAAAATAGCGTGTTATCAATGGTTCACAAATATAATTACCGGGAAGAGTTCTGGGTTGGAGATAATACCCGTACATTACATGTCACGTGTCATATAACACACGTACATTACATGTCACGTGTCATATAACACACTTACATCACATGTCACGTGTCTTATAACACACGTACATCAAAAACTGATATCTGACGATTTCTTACCGGTAGGACTAGGACATTCTTATGATTTTCCTTTCACAAAGGTTTTCCGGATATTCAGCTTCCAGTACCTCGGAAGTGACTGGTGACCGACGCGACAAATTCAACCAATCTGACCCAGTTCCCGCACGTAAGGGCGCACAATCAGATTAATTGGGTACCCAATCAGACTAATCACAAAACGAAACTTCATCCAGGCTAATGCTATATAAAAACTGTAGTCTGCACCCAAATACGACAACTTGGATGGTGGTCACAGTATCGAATCATGGTTGTCTTTAGCAAGTACATCGACGGACAGAGAGGAACTCAAATCCCTCTTGAATGTTAACAAGGTAAACTCATTGGGTTTATAATCATTTTCCCAAGTTAAGCTACCCAGTACCCTGTCTGAAAAAGTCAAAATTGGACAAAGTTGTCCGGTAGCCATCGTGACTTTTGTCACTAGTACTTGTTCCCCCCCTAGTCTAGGGAGTAGCTAAGGAGCCATTGGATTTATGCGATCTCCTCGGTCGACTCAGCCGAATGATAGGAAACTTGATTGAGGGTTAAATGAGGGGGGTACCTGTTAAATGTTCAAAAAACTTGATAGCGCCATCGACCGTAAGACACGCGCGCTGACCATTGAATGTTTTTAGCTCGTATTTCGGCCAGCACATTATTTCGGAAACAATCAAAAAGTTATAATACTTCCCATATAACAATTTTGTTGAAATTTGGTCAGCTTACGTAAACACCTTTGTTCTACTAAACCTAAATTTGTTTTAGCAATTTCGATGGTCACAATTTGAGTTATCAACGAATTTATACCTATTTTGTCATTTTTAGATCTCTTAATCAAGGCCAATTTCTCCCAACGAATTTAGTTTCGGTAGTTAAGTATGATTAAAAGGTTCTAACAAATTTTCAGCATGATTCATGTTCAGGAACCGAAGATATGACAGAATAATACGACAAAAATCAACGAATTTCGTCAAATTACGCGACTTTTATTACCGAGTAACATATGTTACTCTTCTAAATTTCTTCGAAGTAGCGCGCGCCGAATTTCTTCTCGAAATAGTAGCGCGCGCCGGGCCTGATTATTAACAATGGTCAAGACTTTTACACCTAATTTTGCTCCAAAAGCCGCGCACCATCAAATATGGCACCTAGGCGAAACTCACTGACCATTCCAAAAAGGTATAACAAATTTGGTACTGTGATTGTGAAAATTCTCACAGTCTCTAGAAAACAATGGTACAAAAATTTTGAAAATCCGAGCAAGTTTATTTTTATCGTGCACTGATCCGGCCTACCTTCAGTGCATAATGTAAACATATTACTATAGTATTTGCAGTTATGACATAGCACAAAATATGTAGAAGTTAGAAAACCCTTACCTGCGGGGATCGACCCGCCCAGGCTATAAATATAATATTCATAATATTAATTGAGATTCGGTGGAATGACAGGCTGAGCGCAGCCCAGTTTAAAGAAAACCCGTTCGATTTAAGTTTAACTATCGCAGATAGCTGATGGTGCGGTATTAATAATAACTTTTTAATGAGCTATATCGATGATACGGACTTGTTCAATTCGAAACTGCCTGTTAAGTCCCTTAATCTTTTTAATTTTTTCCGTTCACCCTTTTGTAAAAAGGCAATAGTGAAAGGTTAAGAATGGACGTTTTTGCAGAAAAACGTGGATTTTAGAGATTGCAGTAGGTAGATCTGAACATGTCGGCAGTCCTTCCTTCCTTCCGTTAGTTACCATGTCAACTAGAACTAGCGTTCAGTGCTTGCGCGAGATGTGATGTATATACTATATAGCTAGCCTGTCAATGAAATGCGCGACGCGAGTGTATTTTATAATGTATACTTTGTAATGTATATTATTAGGTTATAAGCCTAATTTGTACGTGGCATGCGTAGTATAGTGTACTGATGTGTATCAAATTCAATATCATTATGACATTATTATGGAGTGAGCTGATTGGAGCCTATCACAATGCTGGCAAGCATAACCGTTGCCCTTATATTCACAACACTATTTACCCCCTATACTATTATATCCCCTTTATTGTTTTCCAGGCATTAAGACTCATCGAAAGTAGTTCAGCAGGTATATTTAAGTTCAAAACATTCTAATTCAATGTTAAAGATGACAGGAATAAGAAATAGTTATGTGGAGGTTTTTAAGAAATTTGCTTAAAAACCATGTTAAAATTGAGTTAGAGATCTGAAACTTTGCAGGGCGTCTAGACCTTGTCCAAATCGACTGTAAACAAAATTTCATGTTTCAGCAATATCGGGAAGTGGGTTTTCTGGAACCCCTGTTTTACAACAGATTGTCGTGAAGTATATCTATCTATGTATAGACGCTTTGGCAGTCAATTGGCAGTCAATTGTAGCCTAGATTCAAGTGTCAGTAGATTCAAGAGTATAAAAGATACAGTCATTTTGAACCACAGGTCTTGAAGATAATTGTTTATACTTCAGTTTTCATTGTATTAAAAAATAATTTAACGTCATCATCATCACTTGATGACGTCATCAAATTAAGTGTTTTTAAAACTTGATTTTTGACAAAGTAACAACGTTTCAAATCAATTTTACACCATTAAGGAGTAAATTTTTTCAAAATCTGAGGACATTTTCATCTTAGATAATTGTTCAAGCACTCCGAAAATCTACCGGAAAAGTTTCCTACCTTGCTCCTTCATAAAGATATTTGCTATTGAAGTTAGTGCTTTTTTGAAGAATAATTTTATAAAAACACAAAAGTTGTGAATTAGTATTCTCTGGTGTTGGGCCATCCCTTGGGTTGTGGAGCTCAATTTTGCTTCTTAAATGTGTAAATTGTGTTATAGGCTAGTTTTAAAGTTAAAAATCGAAAAGTTGCACACGTGGGGACTCGCCCAAATTGATTTAAAATAGCTAAAATCACTAAAAATTTTGATTTTCACGATTTTTATCAACTTTGGAGTCCCGTTGTGATCCAAGCACTTTTTGAAATCTTCTGAAACTTTGCATGCTTATCAAACTATATATTAAATACCACCATGCAAAAATTTACGGTGATTCAATATTGTATACGCACGCAACGTCCGCTCAAAGTTTGCACGTGCGAAAGGTGAGAATTTTGCTCATTCGTGATTTTGAATATATTCTGCTTTCCACGATATTTAAATGGCATTATATATGAATTTAATGCCAACTTGAATGAGTAAAAAGTGCCAAATTCAGTCGGTTATCGACAGATATACCTAAACACAAGGAAACGTTTTCAAAGGCAGAATTTCGAAATCGTTGAAATTATCTCCTTATTAATGAAGTTTCGACTGTGTAAATTATCCTGACATTATAATCAAAAAGAGATGATATTTGACCAAAACCCATAATCATGGGTAGAGTGAACCGCTGCCAGTGTCTCTCTTTTCCAAACAAAAGGAAATGATATTAATTTGAGGAACCGTCCGCAAATGCAATTTGATACCGAGAATGAAATCGGTCGCTCGCTTTTCCCATTTAATAAGCTTTATTACAATTCGTAAGCCGTGAATGAATGGGAAAAGCGAGCGACCGATTTCATTCTCGGTATCAAATTGCATTTGCGGACGGTTCCTCAAATTAATATCATTTCCTTTTGTTTGGAAAAGAGAGACACTGGCAGCGGTTCACTCTACCCATGATTATGGGTTTTGGTCAAATATTTATAATAGTTATAGTGAATGGAAATCTAGCGTCCGCCAAAACGAAAGAACGGGCGCAATTTTTGTTTTATAACACCGAATTTGATCAGATATGTATTTATTTTGACAACATTAGTTTCGTGATTGGGGCACTTTAAAGTCACACAAATTTTTTATTGACACGTGATTTTACATTTTTGAATATAATGGCATCTGGAGCTTCAATTTCTCGAGTTTTCATTGTTTATATCAGATTATGATTAATATAAGCTACTACTTAAACTAAGCCTTTCACTTGTTATAAGTATAAATGAATGTAATTTTTTAATTTTTGTAATTTTTATAATTTTTATAATTTTTTCTCCAACATTTTAATTTGTTAAGTTCACGGTTCATTATTACTCATTACTAAAAAAGGGACTTCCATTGTCAATTCTGATCTAAATTCGACGAACCGTTATCGATATTGAGACCCGTTTTATAAAAATACGATATTTTACGGCATTCACTTTAATTTAAATTATATCGTTTACAGCACACGTTTTTCTCTCCGGCATAGTTGGTATATCACGGTTGAAGTAGTTGAATGCAATTCAGTTTCAGTTCGATCGACTCGGATTAGTTTCGAACGTAAACTGAATCGGAGCCACATAACTGAACAGAAGCAAGCTCTAAATATGTGCCAGCTACAGCTCAGTAGTAATAGTATAATATACAGTATGGTTTAAAGTAATATTTAAAGATTTGGAGTAGTATCTGAGTAATAATGAGTATCATAAGCTCTTAAAGGTGGGGGTTAACGCTGCCTTTCTAATTACCACTTTTTCAGGTAGCTAATTACCTTGTTTGTTAACAATAGTAATTTACTACCATCGAGAAGTTCTTAAACTAACGAAAGGGATAAACGATGAACAAAGAAATCGGGGAATTGGAAGAAACAGTAAACAAAGAAATCGGGGAAGGGGGGAGAAGCAAGGACCACATGGAAGATTAAAGTGTGAACAAGCCCCCAATCTGATATCGTTCTCGTTAATTGCAGTAAACAGCAGAACTGTTTGATAAAGGTAAATAATTCTACAATAAGTATGTTACAATTTATAGAACCATCTTATTCTTATCAAAGCTCTCTTCGGTAATCTAGCTCTTTCAGTACCTCAACAGTTATACATTGTGCCATCAACAGTGAAGCACGATTTAGTCAAAATGGTGAAATTGGGTCGAGAAAAGCTGATATCTGACACCATTTTAACTAAATCGTTCTTCACTGTAATTGATGGCACAATGTACTGTTGAGGTACTGAAAGAGCTAGATTACCGAAGAGAGCTTTGATAAGATGGTACTATAAACTATAATATTACTATTGTAGAATTGTTTACTTTTATCAAACAGTTCTGCTGTTTACTGCAATTAACGTGAACGATATCTAATTGGGGGATTTTCACACTTTAATCTTCCATGTGGTCCTTGCTTCTCCCCCCTTCCCTGATTTCTTTGTTTATTGCTTTTTCCTTCCCCAATTTCTTTGTTCATCGTTTCTCCCTTTTGTTATTTTTAGAACTTCTCGATGGTATCGTTCTTAAATTACTATGGTTAACGAAGAACTACCCGTTAACTATCTGCCTGGTAATTAGCACCATTGGAATGCACCAATAGGACCCGTAGTCTAAATAGCAATTCTTCAAATAGATGGTATCAATAAGATCAGTTCACTTCTCCTCCAACCATTTTAGGTTGGTGTCTCTCCTCTCCATTCGAATATGTGTCTACTGCTCTCAGTAGAAGAGTACTGGTGCTCTACTGCTCTCAGTAGAAGAGTACTGGTGCTCTACTGCTCTCAGTAGAAGAGTACTGGTGCTCTACTGCTCTCAGTAGAAGAGTACTGGTGCTGTACTGCTCTCAGTAGAAGAGTACTGGTGCTCTACTGCTCTCAGTAGAAGAGTACTGGTGCTGTACTGCTCTCAGTAGAAGAGTACTGGTGCTCTACTGCTCTCAGTAGAAGAGTACTGGTGCTCTACTGCTCTCAGTAGAAGAGTACTGGTGCTCTACTGCTCTCAGTAGAAGAGTACTGGTGCTCTACTGCTCTCAGTAGAAGAGTACTGGTGCTCTACTGCTCTCAGTAGAAGAGTACTGGTGCTCTACTGCTCTCAGTAGAAGAGTACTGGTGCTCTACTGCTCTCAGTAGAAGAGTACTGGTGCTCTACTGCTCTCAGTAGAAGAGTACTGGTGCTCTACTGCTCTCAGTAGAAGAGTACTGGTGCTCTACTGCTCTCAGTAGAAGAGTACTGGTGCTCTACTGCTCTCAGTAGAAGAGTACTGGTGCTCTACTGCTCTCAGTAGAAGAGTACTGGTGCTCTACTGCTCTCAGTAGAAGAGTACTGGTGCTCTACTGCTCTCAGTAGAAGAGTACTGGTGCTGTACTGCTCTCAGTAGAAGAGTACTGGTGCTCTACTGCTCTCAGTAGAAGAGTACTGGTGCTCTACTGCTCTCAGTAGAAGAGTACTGGTGCTCTACTGCTCTCAGTAGAAGAGTACTGGTGCTCTACTGCTCTCAGTAAAAGAGTACTGTGTTTTTTGCATTAGATTCGCCCTAAGTCTTTTAAGCAGTCACATAAATTCTTAGTTAATGTATGAAATTTTTGGTGCTGCAGTTAGTTTAAACTCGATGAAATTTGGAGATTAATGACTAATGTAACATATCATCATCCCAAGACTGGCATAAGTAAGAATTGTGAGCTAAAGATGATCTCTGTGATAAAGCCCGTGGTATGGTTGACTGTTCTCTGCTGTCTTATACCAAGAGGAATGTCACTATCAGAAGACTCGACCGACTGCGAAATAGCAACTTCAAGTGTTTCGATAACTTGTGGGCTAATAACGTTTTTTACTGCACTCGGTACTATCTCGGCATGCGCAGCAACTGCTGGTGCTGCTTGCGGCACACTCGTGGCTATTGGCGCAGTGGCATCACTTTGTGGAACTTCAGTAGGGCTACAAGGCTGCCCCAGTGGAGATGGTCAGTAATTTTCTGAATTATTATGGAATATTGATCACATCATTCTTTTACTAAGCTATTTTTAAAACGTATTAAATGTTCAGTCGACTTTGATATCCCTGCAAATCACCATTCCAAAAACCCGTAATTTTAAGGGGGCATACCCCAAATCTGTCCAGACCAAATGACCTCATAGGCAGTTCAGTGACCTTCAAGCGCACCGTTTCCACACCAAAAAAAATTATTTTGAGAATTCCCATTTTTGTAATCGAGCATTTCCTGGTTAAGAGTGCAATGTTCGGAAAAAATTATTTTGTGGTTGAGACGCTATAAGTTAATCATTTCTTGCGGTATCGGGTTGAAATTTTGCTCGCCGTTTATTCACATCTATTTCAAGGTGTGTGTAAAATCTTGATATCGTATCTAAAAAGGCTGGTGTGTTATGAATTTTTAAAGTCAAAAAGCTAAAATTGTCCTTTTCAGGCTTATTTTAACAAAAAGACAGTCAGGGAAGATCGGATTGATTTGATGCTTGACATCAAATTGTTCTCTGAATTCTGGCGCAGTTTTTGATGCCCTCAAAAATGGTTTTACTCATTCAGCTTCAGATCTATTGGACCTCAAAGCCAAACAACAAATTTAGGCACATTTTTCGTTTTCAATATTTACTGATTTTTCTAACATTTTGATAGGAATGTGCTAGTGACTTTTTGAAGGGTGCAAAATAACCGCAACTAGCACATTTATATATGAGTTATGAACAACAAAACACCCTAAAATGCTTCCCTTTGAAGTTATGGGAGAAAATGTGATTTTTTATCTGCAAAGCCAAAAAATCACATTTTCTCCCATAACTTCAAAGGGAAGCATTTTAGGGTGTTTTGTTGTTCATAACTCATATATAAATGTGCTAGTTGCGGTTATTTTGCACCCTTCAAAAAGTCACTAGCACATTCCTATCAAAATGTTAGAAAAATCAGTAAATATTGAAAACGAAAAATGTGCCTAAATTTGTTGTTTGGCTTTGAGGTCCAATAGATCTGAAGCTGAATGAGTAAAACCATTTTTGAGGGCATCAAAAACTGCGCCAGAATTCAGAGAACAATTTGATGTCAAGCATCAAATCAATCCGATCTTCCCTGACTGTCTTTTTGTTAAAATAAGCCTGAAAAGGACAATTTTAGCTTTTTGACTTTAAAAATTCATAACACACCAGCCTTTTTAGATACGATATCAAGATTTTACACACACCTTGAAATAGATGTGAATAAACGGCGAGCAAAATTTCAACCCGATACCGCAAGAAATGATTAACTTATAGCGTCTCAACCACAAAATAATTTTTTCCGAACATTGCACTCTTAACCAGGAAATGCTCGATTACAAAAATGGGAATTCTCAAAATAATTTTTTTTGGTGTGGAAACGGTGCGCTAGAAGGTCACTGAACTGCCTATGAGGTCATTTGGTCTGGACGGCACAAACCACTGTTTTGGGGTATGCCCCCTTAATATAACCTGAACACGGTGCACACACTCCTTTCTAGCTTGCAAATGTTGATCCCGATTAATCATGGTCCTAGTCAAATTTTACACCCCAGGGCCCAGTCGATCACTTGGTCACAGTTATTAAACCTATCCTGTTCATTGTTCAATTAATTTTACTCAGATATGGAGGAAGTTATTCAGCTTCTTGAAACAATCAGAGAAGATATAGAGGACTTGAGCAGCGACGTTGACTTGAACTTTTACACTGCACAATATGAAGGCGATATAGAGGACATCCGGTTAGTAAAAAGTATTTATAGTGGTAAAAATTCGCCTAGTTTTTAGGAGGAATGTTTGGCTTATTTTGATTTTTACTTGTGATATTACAAACACTAATTGGCATCATTCCATTTATCTTATAATGAGAAATTTTCATTAGAAATAGCTCTTGTAGACCGTCCACCATTGATTGCAAAATCGAATTATCGATGTTCACACAAACTCTTTAGAATACTTATGCTACCCTACGACAACACTAACCCAATAAAAAATGCAGGAACGCAGGAAGGTCATACAGAGATAATGTGCTAAATACAATTGTTGACGGCCGACTAACAGATTCGTATTTTACGAATACTTGGATGGAAAAAATGAGGACAGAATACAGTATGGAGAATTCATTGTATGAGATTGGTGATATGATTAAGGGAGAAGAAGAAGGCCTGAATCGTAAAGCATCCATTTACGATATAGCAAGAGAGTATGACCTTTGTAGTTACAGCCTTTACCGGTACGTTCAAAGTCTCATCATGGAGGGTACAAGCCTCACTTCATCTTCTTGCACATGGAGACACAAGAGATTCCCGAGGACAGAGAGGAGAGTTATCAGGATATGCTTCTTGAAAACGAAAGGATGTATCAATTATATTGCCGTAAGTGTTCTGGTACACCCTTCTCTTTGTTCTAAAAAATGAATAAGGTTAATTCATCGATATCCATGGCCATGCTATATTACTGATTCATTGTTAACAAGATTCCTTGATTGAAAGCCTAGTACTACAAGCTTACGAATGTTTTTTATAAGAGCTTGATGATTGCTTTCCTTAACCTAAGAACATCAATAATACCAAATGTATATGAAGACAGATCAATCTACAGTTAACAACGTCGCCATCGAAAGTTTCCGTATCGAGATATCTACCAGAGCATATGCAAACACGGGAGGAAACCTCAGAATTGGAGTTAGGCAAGGAGAAAATAGCTGTGAAACAGTTGAAGAAACATTCGTGGAACCAGAGGAAGGGGAAGAAATGACAGAAGATAACAAAGCAAAGTTTGGCTCTTGCCGCAACAAATGGTTCCAGCCCAACTTCAATAAGCATCCCCTAGAAATCAGAGTCCTGTCCGATTCTGGGGACGATGCCTATATAAACAGAGCAGCGATCAAGATTGGGGGAGTCTGGAGGGAATGGGTCTCAGTAGACGTTAAAGTAAATAGGCATGGGGAAGGAGCAGAGTGGCGAGCTGTTATTGATCCAGGTATTATAGTTTAGAAATCTATCTGTGTCTCAGGCCGGCTAAATTTCATGTGGCATTTTATCAGTTTCAATTGATCAGTTTACACAGATACTATTAACTATTATATCATTTTAGCTGTATAATTGATACGCAAAAGGCAACACCCATTTTTGCAAGCTTTCATCATTTTTCGAAATTGATTTCTAAGAGAGGAGAATTGGATTATAAGGCCAATATAGTGATGGCCCTTTATAACTAATAGATGAGACGAACTATCTTTGATGTTGAATGATGATTGTGTAGTACTTCTGAAATATAAAGATTTCCTTTTTCAGTCGATCCTATAGATATTTCCAACTGTTTGGTTTCTCAAAGCTCCACAAGGAGTCTTGGTGGAGAAGCAGAGCGAGCCATTGACGGAAATACGAATGGATATTTCGACAATGGGTGAGTGACATTAGTTTTGACACAGTGAATGGTTGAAACATATTGTTGTTCTATTCTGCATTCCCAACCTCGAGACAACCAAGAAGACCGTGATTTTAAATTTCAGTAAATTTCAACCTTCAAGTTCCTCCTTTTTGCTTTTTTGCATGTAAGTCTGCGCATTGGCGCTGAGTCACACATATTATACAATATGTTGAACTCATTACTAATACTTCACCATGACTGGATTCACAGTTGGAATTTATCTTTCAGGTCATGTACACATACAAGTACAACAAGTTCAGGCCCCCAATGGTGGAAGGTCGACCTAGCAGCAGATTACAAAGTTTTCAAGGTAGTAATCTACAACAGAATGGACTGTTGTGGAGACAGACTTATTGGAGCTCAGGTTGGTCATAACTCATATACAAGTAAATTATTGATAGTCGGATTTCATGTCATAAGGCAGACTGTACAAACTAATAAGCACGTGCAGTTCAGACAAGGAAGGCTCAGAAAATGTGGACAAGTTTTATAACAAAAAGTAGCCAGTTGCTTATTTTGATTATGTAAATATTTGAAGGGATGGGTCCTTTTGTGTACATTTGTTAAATTACTTGACACGTTTTGCAATTTTAAGATATTTTCATTTAATATCATCAGGTATTTGCTTTGTCTGGACAAGCTGAGAAACAATGTGGTGAAACATTAACTTATAATCGAGATCATGTAGAGTTTGATTGCGACTATGTCATCGCAGATCAGATCAGAGTAGACCTTCCGGATGGGATGTTAACTCTTTGCGAGGTTGAAGTCTACGGTGGTGAAATGCGTAAGTGAGATAATAAACACACTTTTAGCTTGATAATTCTGTTACTTAAAACCTACTAGAAAGCTGTTTGCTGGTCAAAAGTATAAGCCCGCCTATTATATTATAAAATTTCATTACATTTTCGTAGTTAAAACGATGCGAAAGTATGAACTCGCGCCATCTAAGGGGGGGGGGGGGGGGGGGGGGGGGGGGGGGGGGGGGGGGGGGGGGGGGGCGCAAAATCATCGTTTGAATGTGGGAAAATTTTGAAAAACTTAACTGAGGTACTAGCAAAACTGCGCCAACAGGCAACGTTATGCCACTGAAGTGCGACCTTAATCATTTGGCTTGGTGAGAGTTTTGTCGGCACTATACTGAAAAGAAAACCAGCCCCATATCTTTTACCGTTTTCTTGATTAAACCATTCGTAAATAACAGACAGACAGACAGACAGACAGACAGACACAGACAGACAGACAGACAGACAGACAGACAGACAGACAGACAGACAGACAGACAGACAGACAGACATTAATTGAGATTATTAGTGATCATTTACATTTCTAGAGCAGCTTTATTGTTCGCTGATATTTTAATGTAACACTAATTCTTTCACTGAATCTATCAAATATAAATTCATCAGTCGAAAAGTATTGGGAGTACTTTCATGGTTTGTACTATCGATCCAAATACTTACTATTAGGGATTTCAAATAAAAACAACATGATCACTGTCATCTCAAGACTTTATCCATCTTTCAGCAAAATATCATCGTATAGACTCTGATGACATGTGGGCCTCTCAAAGTAGTACCTACTCAAACGAATTGGCGGGAAGAGCAATTGATGGCAACACAGCTAATCGGAGAAGTCAAAAGTAAGTTACGCTTTGTAACTCTTCCAAGGATCGATTAAAATCGCCACTATTTCAGGGCGCTAAACTGATTCAGATTAGCACTCAACAATTCTTCAATATTTTTGCATGAAATTTTCAAAATAAAGGTCTATTTCAAAATAAAGGTCTATTTAAATTTGTATTTTGATGCTTATGCCATGTAAACATTTAAATCAGGCATTGGAAATGTTTCTTAGTTTTTAACTCTTTATTGGCTTTCAGCTCTTGCACTCATAGTCATACCTACAGACCAAACTACGGAGAGCGTGCCTGGTGGCAGGTATCTCTTGGAGCGACTAAACCTTTGCAATTCAACTGCAATAGTCAAGCCCCGGCCGTAGGCACGGGTTACACTAGTAGTATATATTGAACTCATTACTTCACTATGGCTGGATTCACAGTTAAAACTCATCTTCCAGCTCCTGCACACATACAGAAGGTTCAGGCTACCAATGGTGGAAGGTCGACCTAGCAGCAGATTACAAAGTGCACAAGGTCGTTATCTACAACAGAATGGACTGTTGTGAAGACCGACTTGATGGAGCTCAGGTTGGTCATAACTCATATACAAGTAAATTATAGAGCTAAGGTCAGTCCTGTATGCAATTGTACCATCGCTTTTTCAATTTTTTGTCACCTTCAATTTAATTTTCATATACACATTATAATATAATATATATTACTATTAGAGCAGACAGGTGTCAAAGAAGAACTGATGAAGCAAAGTTTTGCTCAAACATAGTTCCTTCTCAGTTTTTCCAGATACGATTATCTGTTATTCTAACAAATTTAAAGTTTCTAACAACAACACAGATATTTAATAAAGGTATTTAAGGGAACAAAATTATTGTAAGCTTATCAACTATATCAATAACACCAACATTTTAAGGTTGAAGCCTCTTATGGAAACAATTTGGTTAAATTGTGTGGTCAAATAGACTATGAAAGCAGAAAAGGCACTTACACCATCAAATGCGGGGATACAATCGCAGACAGGATTAGAATCATTCAATATGGCCAGTTCTTAACTCTTTGCGAGGTGGAAGTTTATGGTGAAAAAGGTAAACTAGAATTCAATCATCTTATCATTAAGCCGTAGTACATACATATTGCATTACTTTAAAACCGACTTTACACTGAAACCGTCACAGACGCGCGCGCAATTTTTGTTTATAGCCCTCCATTCATATATACTTATTTTTTAAAATGATTATTAATATCTGCAACTTTAATTTCAGTGAAGAATAAGCGATGTCGGGCTAAAATAACAGCATGGACGTAATATGAAAGTTAAAAACCAACGAAAGGGAATTTATTATTTGAGGTATTTGGGATTTATGTTCAGCATCATGCCTTGCATGGCGAAGATGAAATAGTCCCTGAACAATTTTAGAACTACAAGTACAAGTTTTTATAGCATGGTATGTAACTTTAAAAATGGGAAATTGTTTTTACTTTTGAGTTTAGGTAATTATTCATTTTTTTCTTATCCAAATTGAAGTTAGCGTGTAGAATATTAGAATGCTGATGTTTATAAACCATATAGTAAAAATTAACTTTTTATTAGAAACCATCCAAATTTTTAGTCGAGACTACTGGCCATTCCCCCACTTTTTGAAATTGAACAAACATTTTTTTCAACTTCTAACTCATCAAGAGCATGAGCCAAGCACTTTAAAATAAATGAACAAAATATCGAGAATAACCCGAATTCTGCTAATATTAAATATAAACCTGCTTTTATGTTTTCCCTAACCCTACAGCTTTCTTCATTTCACCTAACATACACTACCCATGTGCCTCAAGCTACGTTTTAAAAACAAGGATGGCGCCATGACAGAGAGCCACGCATAACGAAACTCAGAAGGTGACAGTAATTTCCGGTTCCAGCACCGAATTCTTGAAATTTTAAATGTACTTGGTAAACCCATATACCTCCAATATAAATACTAACAAACATGTCCAGCATACTATAAAACTTAATAAAAAAAGAAGATCTACTTAAGAATCTTGAACAAATTCAAGATCAAACAATATATCCACAGCTCAAACTAGCTACGACATACTTGATTGACGGTGTCAACCCCTCGAGAAATCGTTGATCTCTAGCGAAGCAAGACACGATCGAGATGGCTTCGAGAATGCGATGGTTCGAGAATGCGAAGTCAAATATGCTAGTATTGCGCACGCGTCGAAGTCCTCCAACATAACATACCGTGCTACATGAAAGATAATCCTATCCTCCTAATTCGCTGGAGTGGTATGTTCAGATGAATTGAACTGCAGTCTTAATGCCTGAAAACTATACTTATAATAGTATAGAGGGGGTAAAATAGTATATTGTGTATATAATTATAAGAGCGAAAAACGGTCCAATCGAGCCAGAATTGTGATTAACATTTTTTTGGATCCTAACAAGAACGGGAGCTCTTTCCATTCTGATCAAGAACATTATACTACTGAATAGATATTATAGATTGGTGTAAACTGTAAAACTGTTAACAATATGCAATTGAGTATGATTAATCACTTGCTATAGACAGAGTAATCACTTGCTACGTCACTCCTCGCGTCCGACAAGAGCGTTTCTCCTTCCTTAATATAATTATAGTAAATATAATGTTTGAAAGTGTAAAGGCCCAATTATCTGATTATCACCATGCCACCACGTGACATTTCCGTCCGCGATGTGAATGGACGATATAACGCGATGGGTGATTCCCAGCGGTTTCTTTGCGTTCGCGACTATTACCCGTTTTGCATGCCACTGTGTGGAAGTAGCTGTAAATCTTAACAAATCCTCTAAAGTACATGTCTAACCCTCGGAACATCGCAAGCTTAATCAGTTCTGGGGACTGTTCCTGGGTAAATTTTATGAGGTTTAGAAAGCTTTCCGTGCCGCGCTAAAATCGCCCCAAAATGGCTAAACCATGTGCACCGTCGAAGAATAACTTTGCGCAGGGAAAATGCGCAGGTCTACAATAACAGGTATAAGTTAATATTGATTTTCGACCTCCAACAGGATAGCCTAGTTTCCTAAGTAAGTAAGCAGGCGATTGGCTGTGTAGCTGAGGTTCAAATCCCTGTCTAGACATTAATTTGTTTTAACTGAAACCAAGTATTTCCAACAAAACTTTCTAGTGTTTGGTTAATATTGATTATTTAATTATATTAAAGTTCTAACTCTAGGATTAAGAAATTTCTAATTAGAAATGGCAAAGCATGCTTTAAGTATAATACGCAGAGCATCAATTTATTGATTATACTAGAATTTTTATAGAAATAGAACATTAGTCTGTCTCTGATTAATTTTAAATATATACAAGTAACAGACGCGACCAGTATTGCATCTTGCATCGATTAGTAATCAGTTCTGGAGTTCGTGTCGATATCAGCTATTACATAGATTTTAAATTGCTGGCTATACTGCAGATATGAATTAATGAGCAGTTTTTTATCATCTGATTTTGTCCGTTTTGGCTGGGGCCAGTTTTGCTAAGGATTCGTTTCTATCTGGTGTAAAACTTGTATGCTGCGAAAGAACAATTCTACTGAAGGCAAGAAAGATCTGGATTGTCTTTAAAGTGCCTCTCTCACGACAATTTTCCCTCTTACAGAGAGCATTACTAATACTTGATAGCTCTATTATATTTCTGCATGTCACGGGGAAAGGAATGGTCAAGACCTGCAAGAAATACAAACTTATATAGATATGACAATATACAAGATCGATGTTCTGGGATGAAGGGTGTTAACTAAGGAGCACTTCTTAGTTATCCATTGGTGCTAATTCCAGTCCACAACTGAACCAGAATTTACATAAAAGGAATATTTTTCTACTAATAATACGGTTTTGCGTAAAAATCAAATCTGAGACTTGGAGTGGCTAGTGCAGAATGGAAAGAAAATCTATAAGTTCATCTCAAACTTCCAAACTTACTTTGAAAAATACTGTTTTGAACTACACTTCAATCCCAGCCTCTCATCAATTTCTCAATGTGTTCATGCAGCTGGCGTGAGTTCGTGAAAATCTTCAATAATCACCCCGCCCCTCCAGAGTTTGCTTTATTTTAGGGTCCTCTAGAGCTTTAGAGGTTATCGAATATTCCAGATTATGTCTGCTTCGTTGTCTGGTACTTCCGGGGGTTGTAAAAACCAGAGAAATTGAACAGTTTCAAATACCAGAAAGAATGCTGAAGACTTTGAAAGTTCTGCCAAAAAAAGTTTATTTTCTGTACACAAAATCCGAATTTGTCTCTTATAGTGGCGATTTAGACAAAATTTACCTTCTTTTCGGACTAAACTTTGAAAACTGAATTGAAGTTTAAACGATACCTCTAAATGTATTAATGAATTAACAAATTTAATCATCAAAAGTCAAGTTATTGGTCGATTTTGGAAGCTTGGATATGCTAATAATTATTAATACACATTATAGCGCGGCTCGGTTATATTGCGCGCGGGCGTGGTCGCAGGGCGCTAGCGCAAAAATTGCTTACATTTTTTTTTTTTCCGTTCGCAGAAAGACATCGTGACTGACAAACATGTAGAAACTCACCCAGAACTTCCTAGCATATTCTTTAGGTTTAGGAGGGCGGGAAATACTTTGTATGCCAGGGTACTGATCCATTCTGTTGGTTTATCCCGCAAATCCGAATTTTATCCTAATAACACTCACAAAGGCCGTTTCCACACAATTTTTTTGCGCATTATAATAACATAAACCCGCCACGTACGGCAAAGGGTTTATATAACAGATCATTCCCCGCGCTAGCGGGATTATCTGAATAAACACATACGAGTGCGCGCAGCGCACGTAGTTTTGTGTTAATATGCAATCCCGAAGCGCCAGCTGAGGGATAACATTTTATTTAGGCCCTGAGCGGAATTGTTTATGGAATATTAATTATCTCCGGCGAATTTCGACAAGGGATTTATACTTTAGAAGAGAGTAACTCTACCTGTACTGTCCGGAAACACGGATTGGAAAGCAGTTCCATCAATCTGAATGACAAACCGATCTGTCATAGTGAGCAATAGCTTGAAACTTTAGCAGGAACAAGAGCTGGAAGAGAGCAACAAAACAATACTATTTTTAGGGCAACGGACAAGGTAGCTGGCAAGTCCCAACTTCTCTCACGCCACGCGTTGAGAAATTCCAAGATTAGCTAGCTTTGGGGCAACGTTCCCCCAGGAAATTTGGCGTGTAAAAGAAGTGACGGTTACGATTTTCTATCAACGTGGTGCGCTTTCGTGTCACGTGGTATAGACCGGCGATATGCATATTGGTGGCAAACGTGGTAGCCACGTTACGCGCCCACGTTGATTCGGGGCTTCTAACTGTTTCTACTATTATCGAGTTCTAATCAGCAGTATCATTGATTATTGTAAGTTCGGAGAATTCAATGATAAAAATCAGTTACGACTAAAAAGCGGGCCGGTTTATACAAATTTTTCCGGGGCGGGATGATATCACCTTGAGATGTTTTTATCTAACAGCGGGCCGGGCTGAGTGATAATATGATCCGCGTTCGAAATCCCCGGAGATATTTATAAACAGCTAGATCCTAAGTCGTTCTATAGTTAACTCACTAATTCAAAAGGGAGAGACTGATTGGAGAAGAATTGAAACCTTTGGTTTCTTCACAAGTAGAAGCACTAAGAAAAACCCAAGATTCCCATGATAGAGACTCAAGAAACAAACTTTGCAACGCAAATTAAAACATGCTGACAGCAAAATATATCTGAGAGGAACCACTGATCAACCAAGAACAAACCAGGGGTAAACATATTGGTAATGTCGAACTAGAAGGACCCACTGTTTACTACTATCTAAAGACCCTAAATTTGCGTTGCCTATAAAAATGTTCAACTACATTTTGTAACATGTACATTGGCAAAAATCTTATTGGCCATGTACATAAATGTACAAAAAAATCGAAAACCCTGGAAACGGATTGAGAAAATATTCCAAAACGTGTATAAAAAATGCTAACACTGCTAGTACATTATGCAAAAACAAAGCTCGGGCTAGGGTATCAGTGGCTAGGAACTAAGTGGCTAGGGTACAAAGACTGCAACAACTAAGGCAATTGTGGT